TCTCAGCCCTTACAAAATCTCACCTGCAGTGACCTTGTTCCTGCCCCAGCCCTAGTGGTTACAACTGAATTATCAAGTTTCTGTATTTTGTTTTCTGCATGAGAAAAATAGGGAACTGTAAGGTCAGAAGAGTCAGTGTGGTGTTGTGGCTTGAGCATTGGGCCATGACTCTGGGAGACCAGAGTTCGAATCCCCACTGGGCCGTGCAAACCCATTGGGTGACCTTGGGTGAGTCACACTCCCTCAGCCATAAGTCAGAAACATCTTGAAGGCACACAACATCAACAAAAAAGCTTTTTGGTTGTGGTCCCACTAAAGGAAGGTCATTGTGGTGCTACTCAATGAGTAATTGACATCATTTGTCTGAAATGTAGACTGGGTTTGAATCTCCGCTCGGCCACGGCAACCCATTGGGTGACCTATGGCAAGTCACATTCTCTCAGCCTCAGGAAGTGCAAATCCCCTCTTAACAAATCTTGCCAAGAAAGCCCTGTGATAGGGTTGCATTAGGGTTGCCAGAAGTTGGGAACAACATGAAGGCACACAACAACAACAGCAACAAGGTCAGAAAAAGACAGGGTCTGAAACTCATTGGGAATGGATAACTAACACCAGAAGACTTTGGAAAGTTTCTTTTTTGGACTACAATTTTGGTGGGGACACAAGAGACAGGGCCTTCTTAGGAGATTATCGCACAAAGCTCTGGAGATGATATTGAACCAGAATTTCATCAACTCCTTCAACTTCTTACCGCACAACGTCGTCGTTGATCCATTGTTAGCCTGTTGCTCTATCGTTTTCATAGCGCAACTTCTCATTCATGAGAGATGCCAAGAATGACTGCCGATTTCACTTCATTTGTGCAGTTATACATACACCAATCTTTCTAGCATTGCAGTATTGAGAACACATTTTCCACATTGTGAGATAGTCGGCGTTACGTCATGCCACTTCCATTCTTTGTTTTCTGGGTCCGAGGAAAGGCACATAGATTATTTGATTAGTGAGCATCTGAGTCTTCACTCCATGCATTTGAGTGACCTGGTCCTACCCTTTGAGGCAGCAGAGAACAAACCTGTCCTCTTCTCTTTCTGATGGCCTTTGGGGTATTTAAAGAGTGGGATCACCAAACTATGGGGGGTTGCAGACTGCCAGAAATAGTGCAGATTGAGTCCACTTTTAGGGTTAGGGTTAGGGAATCATGGAAATTGTATTTTATTGTGGCACCAGAGCTCTCTGACAGAGAAGGCTCAATGTCTCAGAAAAAAAAATCCCATGATTCCCTAGCACTAACCCTAACCCTAAAAGTGGACTCAATTTGCACTATTTCTGGCAGTCTGCAACCCGCCTAACTATGCCTAGCTCCTTCAGTCTTTCCTCATAGGTTTTGTTCTCCATACCTCTTAGTATCCTTGTTGCTCTTCTCTGAACCTGTTCCATTTTATCTATATCCTTCTTTAATGAGGCACCCAGAACTGAACTCAGTACTCCAGATAAGGCCTGAGCTATACAGAATATAGTAGGACTTTTACTTCCCACAGCTTGAAAACTATGCTTCTATTAATGCAGGCTAAAATAGCATTCACCTTCTTTGCTGCAGCATCACACTGCTGGCTCATGTTCAACTTATGATCAACAAAAATCACAAGGTCCTTTTCACATGTAGTACCATGTATCCCCCATCCTATACATGTACATTTGGCGTTTGTGCCCTAAATGTAGTAAGGGAACGAGTTACACATCCCTCCCTCAAACACTCTTTCATTGACAATCAGTCTGTCATGGCTGCTTCTCTGTTGGAAAAGTCAAGAGACTGATCTCATGTCTCTTGGAGAACATCTAGTTTGACTGTTAATATGTTGCCCAAAGTTCCTTGGAAAGAGGCAAGGTGTACAATGTCGGACAGGGAACACATTTACCTCTTTGTATTAATTTATTTTAACCCCCTCCCCCAAAATTTATTTTAACCCCCTCCCCCTTTGTGTGTATGGAGGAATTTACCTCTTATATTTCATTTTAATTTGGAATTGGTTTAATAACTTTTTAAGGGGGGAGGGGGAGGAAATTGTTCTTAATTATTGTTGTGATTTTATGATGTAAGCCGCCCCGATTGCGCTCAGAGGGGCGGGGTATTAAATAAAAACTATTATTATTATTATTATTATTATTATTATTATTAAAATGCCTTGTTGTCATTTGTTTGTATTTTATGATTTTTAAAAATTTTCATTAAGCACTTAAAAGGTAAGGAGGGGCATGGGATGTAAGGAAGGTTGTTATTATCTGAGTGTTCCCTTGCAAAGGGAAAAAAAATCAATGACATTTAAATAATAAAGGATTTGCTAGCTTTATTGAATACAGAGCACTATAGACCCAGAGAATAAAAAGCATGCTCATCATATGATTACAGGTACCATTTTCCATAAAGAATTTCTCTCTGCTTCAATTACAGAACATCTTAATTTGCTGTAACCTCTGTGACACACTTCCTTTTCCTCTTTCCCTCCTCCTCTCCTTTCTGAGCCAGCAATCAGAGGATAACTTTATGATACTATTACTTCGTTCTTCAAAAAAATAAAATAATAATGCTCAGACGCTCCCCTCTCTGGCACTTTAGATTTCAGAAGATCGTTTTATGGAGCCCTTACATCTGTTAATAAAAACCTTTAATTCATTCTGAACATTTTACAGCCGCTCCAGATAAAAGTTTAATCAGATGGAATTATTGCCCTTCTAATATTCTCTTAACCTTTGCATCTCAGATCTGCACTGTGCCACTTAAAATTTGAAATCCTTCTTTTATAGACTACGTTTTCTCCCTGTCTTAGACGGGGGATTTGGCACCTGAGTTGGCCTGGCCTATCCTCAGGTTGCAAAGAACTTTTTAAAAGAAAACCCATAAACCCCAACCAGTGATTCTTTTATGCCCCGTTAATTATTTTAATGGTGACATGCTGCTTTAAGAGACACATTTATGAATCCCACTAAATCTTCCTTTTTATTGTTGTTTAAACACTTTTCCTATCCATTATGGAGATGTGTTTAAAGCTCTGCCGAAAATGGATGGCTGCATAATTCTATATCAAGTGCCTTGACGTGTTTTTGGTTTTCTGCACTTTTCCTGGGAGGAGAGAGGAAAGGAGGCAAAAAAGAGGGGCACTTTCTGTTCCTTTCGAGTGTCCTCTTGCTTGAAAAACCTGCACCGTCTCGGATCCAGACAAATCGGGGTGGTACATAGAACAAATCCTCCGCAGGGATGAAAATCCTACCCTGCAGTGACTAATGATATATTAAAATATGATAGCACAAAAGCATTTTCTACTCCTCTTTTTTTAGCCCTGTACATTATGTTGACTTTGGATGAACATCAGGGAAAGCGTGCATGCCTTTCTTTGTACATTCTGTATATTTGTAACCATTTCATACCATTTCATTTGCATGAAATGCTAAACCTTTGGGGGCTCAACCTGTCTTCCAAGGCAGGATTTATTTATTTTTATGACTAAACTGAGGCTGTCATACTTTGGACACATCCTGAGATGACATGATGCATTGGAAAAAATGATAATGCTTAGCAAAATGGAAGGCAGTAGGAAAAGACCATGCGACAGGTGGAGGAATCCAGGGCTGCCCTGAGTTTGCAAGAACTAAGCAGTGCTGTTGGTGACGTTGGTGTTTTCATAGAATCATAGAGTTGGAGGAGACCACAAGAGCCATCCAGTCCAACCCCTTGCCATGCAGGAACTCCCTGCCATGCAGGTGTTTTGGAGGTGTCTCATTCAGATGCTCGCCATAAGTCAAAGTCAACATGATGGCAACAAAGTGATGGGGAGGTGGTCTTCAGCCAAACTTTCCCCTTGCTCTCTTTTTCAATGAAAACGCCACCGCCATCACCGCCAACACCTTCCCTTCCACTGCCAGAGAAACAAAACTATTATTGTGGTTCACGAACACGAGAAAGCGGTGCTCTGGAGCCAGGGGACAACTGCAGGGAAAACGGAAGCCGTAATTGCCACATAAACCCTTCAGATGGGTGTCCTTTGAAGAAAGCAATTTTCAGTTATATTAATGCGCCTGTAATTCTCGCATTTTTAGAAGTGAAGATAATCAAGGTACAAGTGCTAAAAAAGCACTGAAATCAATTTGAGGCTCAAATTTCCAAAACTAATCAGGAAAATGGAAAAGCTGTAATAGGATTTTGCTCTCCCTTTCGGTCCCTCGGAGGCTGTCGTGTTTACTTCTGCACAGTCCCCAGCTTCCGTTTTCTTTTCTTTCTTATTCTTCTCTTTTTTGGTGGCAAAAAAGTCATATTTTTGGAATAAGTCTAAGTCAGTTGGAACAGTATGCTCTCCCTTGCACTCCCTCTGACAGGACAGAAAAATATAGTCCTCCTGCGGAGGAACCATTATTAAATAATACACAAGATGCAGCATACCCAAGAGTCAGGACTCTTTCTTTGGGTAAATCTCTTGCATCCCTAAGGAGCTCATCATCCCATCTTCCTTCATAATGTTTTATAATGTTCTAAATCTGGTCCTTGCCCCTCCAGGCATAGGTTTCATTCTACCTTCCTTCCTCCAAATTACCTGAAAATATTTTGCCCCCATGATGCGGTGGGGCACTGATTTATACTATCCATTTATTCAAGGCATGCTAAGAGTTACCTTTCTCTTTGTACCCTATTGCAATGGGTTCAGTAGTGTCTGTTCTCATTTCATTCTCAACTCAAACTCTAAGCTGCTGCCACACTGCAAAATTAATTCAGTTTGATACGACTTTAAGTGCTATGGCTCAATGCTCCTGGGATTTGTGGTTTGTTGTGGCACCAGAGCTCTCTGACAGAGAAGGCTAAATAGCACACAGTGCTACAAATCCCAGGATTCTATCGCAAAGTGCATTAATTGCACAGTGTAGCAATAGCCCCCCATTTTCCAAACTCGGTCCAAATTCTCAGTCTTGGCATTACCAGTATGAATTGGTATTTGGTACACAAGCTGAGAGCCAGTGTAGTGTAGTGGTTTGAGCATTGGACTGTGACTCAGGAGGCCAGGGTTCAAATCCCCACTTGGATATGGAAGCCCACTGGGTGACCTTGAGTGAGTCACACTCTCTCAGCCTCAGAGGATGGCAATGGCAAGTCCCCTCTGAACAAATCTTGCCAAGAAAACCCGGTGATAAGTTCACCTTAGGGCTGCCATAAGTCGGAGATGACTCAAAAACACAACAGTAACAACACAAGCTGTGATCCATGTTCAGAAGATTCAAGAGACGGCCGTCTTTGTCTCTGATATACTGATTTTCTGTATGGAGGATTATTATTTTTTATCTTCATACAGTGATATATTCAGGGACCTGAGCTATTCCACAGTGGAAAACTACAAGAACTTTGTCCCTTGAGTCTCCTGATTATATTGGCCCAATTTCTCTGGGGACCCTTTCACACTACCCAGTTATGACACTATGATTCCACTTTAATTGTCCTGGGCTGCATCCTGTGGGGTCCTGGGATTTGCAGTTTGCCCTAGGGTTTTCTAGCTAAGAATTTTCAGTTTGATGTTTGTTGTAATGTGCCTTAAAATTATTTCTGACTTGTGACGACCCTAGGGTGAACCTATCATGGGGTTTTCTTGGCAGGATTTGTTCAGAGGGGCTTTGCCTTTGCCTTTCCCTTCCTCTATGGCTGAGAGAGTGTGATCCTACCATGGAGTTTTCTTGACAAGATTTGTTCAGAGAGGGTTTGCCTTTGCCTTCCTCTGGGGCTGAGAGTGGGTTTCACGGCTGAGCTGGGAATCGAACCCTGGTCTCCAGAGCCATAGTCCCAACATTCATACCACTGTGGTACCCCACCCTACACTGCAAATCCCAGGGTTCTAACAAGATGTCATAGCAATTGAAGTGGCATCATGGTGCTATAATTGTGTACTGTGAAAGGGCCCTTGGATCTTTTTGTTGTTGTTATTATTTAGAAGCAGATATTGGTCAAGAATGTCTAGAAACCAAACTTTATGAGGAAGAGCTTAGAGAGCTGGGCATGTTTAGCCTGGCGAAGGGAAGGCTGAAGGGTGACATGATAGCCATCTTTAAATATAATCATAGAATTGTAAAATCTTAGAGTTGGAGGGAGCACAAGGGCTATCTTGTCAAACCCCCAGTTGCTATGTTAAGCCGACATGATGGCACATAACTATAGCAAATTTCTTTTTGGGGAGCAACAGGCAACAACACCCTGCTATTCTTGGAAGGGGTGGGAACCATATATCTTTCCCTTTATGGTCCCTTCCAACACTACGATTCTATGAAATACTATACCAAGGAAATGGAGTGTAATTTGATGGTCATAGTTACATGGTGGTTGTGCAATGCCACCTGATTGATAAACTGCAACACTGCCTAACAGATCAGAGTGCACATCCATGCGGGACTTACATCCATGCTCAATATCCATCCACACACCCCTTGCTTCTATGCTATTGCACTAAATGCACCCATTCCATTTTTGTTGTTGTTGTGTGCCTTGAAGTCATTTCCAATTTATGGTGACCCTAAGTCAGACTTATCACGGGGGTTTCTGGGGCTGAGAGGATATGACTTACCCAAGGTAACCCAGATGAGTTTCCATGGCCAAGCAGGAAATTGAACCCTGATCACCAGATTCCTAGTCCTACTTTCAAGCCACTACGCCATGCTGGCTTTCCATATTGGATAGAAATGTCCAAATTCTTCCACCTGGGAATTTACACATGTGTGAGACACTACTACTAGGATGCCAGCTCTTCCTTCCCAAACTTTCCAGAGCCACTGGTGCATCGGGATGAGTGATCATTGCCCACTCCTTTGCATCTGGCAGCTTTGTGCCTTGGCTATTACAATTTATAACTCACGATTGGCAATTTTATTGCCCAGCTAATAATAATAAAAGAGTCAAGCATAGACTGTGTGTGCTTCTACCTCCAAGGGCTTTTATGATCTTTTAACAAGCTTAATGAATCTGGCTGTCATTGTTAAGAGAGAAGAGTGGCTTTTTTCAAGAGCAGAAGGCCCTCTGCTATTCTCCTGGGTGATGTTCCAGAAGCAGCAATGCAAGAATGGGATGCAAGAAGCGTTCCCTGCTCAACTGTGGTCCCAGAAAATGTGTCGCAGTTGGAAGAACTACGTCGCATTGCTTGTGTAAGAAACCAGACATGGGTCAGATTAGAGACCATTGAAAGAAAGGCTCACAGGAACACTGGAAGCGTTCTTATATTGCACTCAGAACTTCACTGGTAGCAGTAGCTGTCCTTCAATTCAGACAGGATTCTTTCCTGATATGACAGTGGTGGTGGTGGTTGTGATGATTTATTTTATTTATTTATATCCCACCTTTCTCCCAATAGAGGGGCTCGAGGTGGCTTTTCTTATTGTTGTTGTTAACTGCCCTTGAGTCAGGCCCAACTCATAGCGACCCAGTGGATGAGACATCTCCAAGACCTCCTGTCCTCAGCTGCTCTGCTCAGGTCCTGCAAACTCAGGCCTAGGCCCTTTCTGATTCAGTCTATCCATCTGAAATGTGGTTTTCCTCTCTTTCTGCTGCCCTCCACTTTTCCTAGCATTATGGTTTGAACATCTTGGCATCCAAGGAGAGTTCAGGCTTGATCAATTCCAGAAACCATTTGTTTGTCTCTTTTTCGGCCCTCCATGGTATCCTCAGCACTCTTTTCCAGCACCATATCACAAATGAATTGATTTCCCTCTTACCTGCTTTTTTCACTGTCCAGCTCTTGCAAACCTAGAAGATGATGGGAAACACAGTGGCTCGGACAATGATGGTGATGCTGATTATTATTATTATTTTAGGGATGGAATGACTCAAAGTAGCAACTGAAATTTGGTCATAGAACCAGTCCACTGTTGCTGTTGTGGTTCTTGTTCTTCTTGTTGTTGTGTATTTTCAAATTAGGGCAATGCTAAGACAAACATAACACAGGATTTTCTCAGCATGGTTTGTTTAGAGGCCATTGCCTTCCTCTGAGGGTGAGAGAGTATGACTTGCCCAGTATCACCTAGTAGGTTTTCATGGCTGAGCTGGGATTCAAATACAGTCTGCATTTGAGACAAATGCTGTCATTTGCTCGTTGACAAACATACCGTTGGAAGAGATCCCAAGGGCCATCCAGTCCAGTCCCATTCTGCCATACAGAAAGAAACAATCCAACCATCCCTGTGACAGATGGCCATCTAACCTGTTAAAAAGGGTGGGGAGGGAATTATATTGTCTTAAGTTGTACGTATTTTAGTGCTGTAAACTGCCCGGATTGGCTTGCCATAGGGCGGTATATAAATTATTATTATTATTATTATTATTATTATTTAAAAAACTTCTTAAAAAGGAGACTCCACCACTCCCCAAGGCAGCATCTTCCACTGTCAAATGGCTCTAACTGTCAGGACATTCTTCCTAATGTTGAGGTGGAATTGCTGTTCCTGGAATTTGCATTCATTGCCCCATGTCCTTGTCTCTGGAGCAGCAGAAAACAAGCTTGCTCCATTCTTAAAATGCCCTCCCTTCAAATATTTTAACATGGTTGTCATGTTGCATCTTAAACTTTTCTTCTCCAGCTAAACACACCCAAGTCCCTAAGCTACTCCTCATAGGGCTTGAGGGAGTTCCAGACCTTCCACCATTTTGGTCACACTCCTCTGGACACACTCCATCTTGTCCACATCCTTTCATCAGAAATTACTTGAAGGCATCCAACACCAACAAAAGGAAATTGAATGGCCAGAAATGGCCAAGTGTACTATGGAGGCGGGGGGGGGGGGGTTGACAATATGATTGGCCATTTAATCCCCCACCAATTTTAGGGTAGGAGCCCAGAAGTGAAAGAAGCACACATGGAGTGGGGTACCTCTCCAAGATCCTAGGATGCAGGGGGTACACTGCCTCCCCAGCCTCCTGGTGGTTGTTCAGTCCTGTTGTGACTTTTGCCAAAACATAGAATAATAGACTCATAGTTTTAAGAGATCTCGAGCACTGTAAAGTCCAATCCCCTGCCATGTTCCATCCTCAGCATGCCATCCCTTCTATTATTTAAACAGGGCTGTCACATCACCCCTTAACCTTCTCTTCTCCAGGCCAAATATACCCAGCACCCTAAGCCGCTCCTCATAGGGCTTGATGGTTTCCAGACTTTTTACCATTTTGGTTGGCCTCCTCTGGACACGGCTATCACAGGCACACAGAGGCTTCTAGCCACACACAAGCTCTTCCTTGTAGTCCTGTGTACAAAAGGAGTATTTTTGCAAGCCAGCCTTTGTATAGGGGACATTTTGTGGCCAGAAATACTTACTATCATATCACAGTGGCAGGGGGAGCTATGGGGAAAAAGAGCCGTAATCATACGATTATTGCCATTGCCTATAATTTAAGTGCAAAGAATGTATAGCGGAGGGAAACGAAACAAAAACCAGAAAATGCTGTGGAGTGATGCTTTTGTGCATGGCACCCAAGGTGTGTATGAGCGATCGCTTTATTTTTTTGCCCCGGAGTGAAATTGCTCATCCTCAAATGGCCCACAAAATGAAATAGCGTGAAACCTGACAGGGGTACTTTGGCAGAAATGGGTCAATTTCCTGTCATTTCTCCCCATAATTGTATGTAGAATGTGTGACATCAGAGACGTTGTCACAAGAAGATGTTTTCCATTCTTTTTAGGCCTGTTATCTTAATTCCATGATGAATGGAAGCAAAAACAGAATCCGAGCTCAGGCCTGTTAGGGAGACGCTCTTGCCATCTGCCTAATAACCCTCCATTTTCAGTGAATACCTGTTACTTCAAAGCCAAGCTAAAAGGGAAACAGGCCTGGGGGATGTTTTGGGGATGGAAAGGAATACCTCGGTTAAAGACAGCACACTCTTGGTCAAAATGTTAGAAGCATTTCTACCATCTCCGTGAAACCAGTGCGTCACTTTTTAATCACACTTTCCAAATAGTGATAGCAGAATGGGAGGATGAGACACGCTTCTAGTGGAAGACCAGAGAAGGGCAGGATTTGGGAAGATGGTGGCAAGTTTTTTTGCATGATTTTGCAAGCTAGGTAGAGTCAGGCCTGGCTAATTCTTGGATGGGAGAACACCAGGAATGATATACCACCGATGTCTCCAGGAAGGGCTAGGAAAGATTCATGATGGAAACCATGGCTACTAATCACAGTTGTCACAGTTGACAACACTGGTCTAGATGGACCAAAGATATGACTCAGTATAAGCATAGCCTCCAACATTTCACAGCTGAAAACTGGGACCTGTATGGCCAAGCAACATCAAAGTGTGATGAAGATGGCCAAAGTTACTAAGAACACAAAAGCTAGGAGATGTTGCAGCATTTCGTCTTTGCCTGAACTTACTGGGAAGGACAAGATTCATACTTCTCCTCTCCTCTTCTCTCTTTTCCTCTCTCCTCTGCTGGGTTAACTGAGCACAAACTCTTTTGGCACTTTGAACTCAGTTTTCAGCAACTGGAGTAAACTGAGGGCAAAGGGGAAGATTGGGAGAGAGAAACTGGGACATTTTAAAGTGGTGAAAAAAGTGGGATGGCAGAGGATTAATCCCAAAAGCAAGAGGGAAGGA